CCTGATCCCCTCCCTCTCTGCCTCTTCCTTCTCCCTCTCCCTATCTCCCCTCTTGATCTCAGTGATTATGTGAGTTCATGTCCCCGACTCCCCGTCTGTCCCTCCTCCGCCGCTCGCCGTCCTTCTAACCAATGTGCCATCTTCTCTGGGTGGCCCTCATCTTCTTCGACATCGGGCTCCGGTTGCGCAGGTATAACCCTAACCCTAACCCTAACCCTAACCCTAACCCTCCTCTTCTTCCATTGATGATTGATCTATTCTGATCTGTTCTTGTCCTCCATCTCTTTGCACAGGTCGATGGCCAATGTGTCGTTCTCTAGCTGTGGTATAGAGCGACCAATGCTGCCTCGCACACCGTTGAGGAACGGTGCTGGAGAGCCCTCCACGGTCAAGGGCGCCAGGGCTGGTGTTGATGACGAGATTATCTGGTCGCTCACCGGCAACGATGATCTGATCGCGGTAGGCCTAGCCCTTGAGGACGACGATGACACCCATAAGGACGCTGCTGCCTTGTTTGGTATCGATGTCAGTGGTGGCTCTGCTGCTCCGATCGATCTGGACAGCGGCGGTGGTGAATGGGCGACGGTGACTGGGACCCCGACCTGCTTCAACGGCTTAGCTCCATCTGTTGCTGGTAACTCTTCTGGTGTTGGTACTGGTAAGCGTAAATCTGTTGTGTGGGTTGATTTTGATGAGATCTATGAGACTGTGAATGGTAGGAAAATATGCACTAAAGCTACCTGTAAAATATATAAGTATACTTTGTCTGCTAGATCTTATGCTGGCGCTAGCCACTTGAAGAGGCACTAGAAATCTTATAGGTAAAAAACTAATCACAATTATTTTTTCTGGTGTTTACTATCTAACGAGTCCACTTATTCTGCACCATCTGCTAGACATTGGTTCTCATTTACATGCAAGTGAAAAAGATCAAAATCTAATAGCAGTTGTCTATCCTATGAAGCTTAAATTCCTTAAATACTGGCAGAATATACCTCTGTTATATTTATTTGCTTTCATTCTTGATCCTATAGCTAAGTTGAGAGGTTTATTTAATGTTCTGCAAATACTTAAAGAGAACACTATTGTTGATTACAGTTTATATTATGCTGATGTGAAAACTAAAATTTATAAGTTGTTTAATAAATATGAGAGAAAGTTTGGTGCAGCTAGGTCTTAGAGGCCTGCATAGCCTGCAAGTCATACAGGTAAGAAAAAACAGGCATAGAAAAGAATCTTTGAAGGCCCTGAATCATCTGGTTTTGTTGGTCCTTCCCCTACCTCTGCCCGTACTTCATCTCAATCTGCTTCTGCTGCTGGTTGTGAGCTCACAGCTTATTTGGACAGTGACAATGTCACTGCATATGAGAATGACTTTGACTTACTTTTCTAATGGCGTGACCACAAACTAACTTATCATATCCTATCTATAATGGCTAGAGATATTATGTCTATTTCTGTCTCTACTATCTTTTCAGAATCATGTTTTAGCTTGACAGAAAGGATAATTGAAGAGCGACGACGACGCTTGTTGCCTAAAACTGTGGAGATGCTGACTTGCATAAAGAATTGGGAGTTAGGAGAAAGAAGGTTACATCATGCTGTTGACAACCAAGAGTTGGAAGACTCCTTCAAGAATCTTTATCTTGATGAAGATGCATTTGGGGCTGCTGCTGCTGCTGGCGCATCTGGATCTGCATCTGTGGCTTCTGCTGGTACTTAGTGTGTGAGATTTGAGAATCGTGAGACTTGAGAGTGATCTGTTATCTTTGTATCTATGATGTGTGACTGATACTGGTAAACAATGGTTTAAGACTTTTAAGAGTTGTGCTGCACTGTTTTTCTTTTTCTAGGATTTCTCACAAGGGTGAGTTTTACCTAAAAAGATTTTTTATGAGGCAGCATTGCACAAACAGCTCAGTTATCTTAATTTCCTTCTCTTTTGGTGGCTTTTGTTAGAATTTAGAATCTGTGACCACTTTATTACTTATGATTGTGAAATACTGAAATATGAATGAATTATAAAATGTGATTGTGAAAATGGAGAAGTGTTGGATGAGAGAAGCAGTTTGAGATGTTTTAAGGGCACCAGGCTGTGGGCTGGCACGGCCCGTAGATTTGGTCATGCTTAGCGGGTCGGTACGGCACGGATTTTGGCCTGTAGGGCCGTGCCAAGCATGAGACCCGGAGGGGCATGGCCCGGAGAGGTACGACGTGCCGTGCTAGCCCGACTCCTCGCGGTCGTGCTCGGTCCGGACCGGGCCGGGCCAACCGTTGCCAACTATAGGGTCATTATGTAGGGGCGAGCGTCATTCCGGATCTTGGTCCGAGCTCATGAGCGTCGCGTGTGGGAATAGATGGGCCAACACCGCGCACGGGAATAGATGGCCCACATGCTCATGCTCTATCCGAAGAATCGCAGTGTGGCGGGGGTCGTCTCGTCTCGTCTGTCCGAGCACTGGTCGAGCGAAGATTTCACCATCGAGCACCGGTCTGCCCTTCTCGCTTTCGGCGGCTCGATCTGCCGCCACTGTGGCGCACCGGCTTCGTCGAATCCGGTGAGCGCTCGGCCTTCCTCTCTCTCTTCTGTTTGGTTGACGATGGACGGGATCAACCCATTTTGTGATTAATTCAGAGGCATAAAAAGTGGGGTGAGCTACTGACAAGTGGGACCTATTTGTAAGTTTTTTTTTTTCTTTTTTTCTTTTTCCTTCTCTTCTCCTTATCTCTTCCTCTCTCTCTCTCTCTCTCCTTATCTCTTCCTCCCGACGCCCGCCCCGTGCCTCTTCCGTCCTCCGCCCCGAGCTCGGCCGCCCACCGCCATGGGCCTCCTCTGCCCCGAGCTCGGCAGCGAGCCACTGAGCGCTTCCTCCGCCGGCGAGCTCAGCCACTGAGCGCTTCCTCCGCCGGCGAGCTCGTGTGGCGGCAGATCGGAGCAGAGCGGGGGCCGGCGCGAGCGCGTGCGGCGGCGGGCCGGAGCGAAGCTCGTACGACGGCGGGCTGGAGCGGAGCTCGGCCACGCGTGCGGGGCAGAGAGGAGCTGGGGTCGGGGCGAGCTCGTGCGGCGGATCGATCTCGTCCACAGGTAGGTGCTATCCTTCCTCGTCCGCGACGGCAACGGAGCACTCGCCCGCGACCCCGTCCGTGACCGGTGACCGACGCTCCTCCTCTTCTTTCTTCTTCGCAGCGAGCCGCTCATCCCACCTGGGTCGCCCCCGTCCGTGAAAATTTTGGGGACGGGGGTCATCCCGCATCTCACGGTATATTCGCACGAGGGACATCCTCACTCCTGCTCGCCCCTCAACCAAACGTTGCTCGTCCCAGGTCCGTCCCATCCCATGCCACCTTGTCCCTCCAACCAAACGCTACCTAAGAGTGGCCTGTTTACCAGCGGATTGGGGGTGGAGGGTTCCTCTTTCGTTTAGGGGTGGGCGGCTGGTTTTTGGATCAGAAAAAATCATTCTCCTTGATGTGGGATTGGGGTTCTATTGGAGCCCCCCAAACCTGCGAATGGTGTTTTTTTTTTCCGTCAATTGTTATTGGGGGTGGTATTCTCACTCTGTTGGGGATGCTCTACATGTTCAGTTGTTCACTGTTTGCACCACACTACATCCATAAAAGGGGTAGTATATTAAACATTAAACAATAACGAGAATATATGAATCAGTGGGCACTGCAAAGGCATGAAGCAAATTGCCACAAAATAACTGTTGAGTCACGTAGAAGAAATCAGACAAAAACAAGAAAGAGAATGAAAGTCTCTTGAATTCAATAATGGTTTGCCAGGCAGGGCAATAAAATGCCATGTTGTCAAACAGGCTGCCTTGAGTTCTCAGCAAAGCTATGTCTAAGGGAAGCCAGTTGGAACATTGTTAGTAGCAGCTTGATCAAGAAGGAACTGACTCTGAGATTTCCTTTTAGGCTGTTAGCAAGTAACACCACATGTGATTCGTGTTAGCAAATGCTTTTAATTTGAGGCAACTAAAATTGGTTGGCTAGGCCTTTTCTTTTCTTCACATTTGAATGAAACTAAAAACGTTGCTAGCAAAACAAAATATAGAAATAGAGGACGGTGGTAACTGGGTGAATGAAAAATGGCCTTAGCATTATGAGCAATTCTTATTTGGCCCTTCTATGGTTGAATCCTCATATGAGGTAATGCCTACTTGTAGTCTCTTGGAACAAAGAATCAAAGATGCTTATCTTTCATATTGTGGTTGGCATTGTAAGTTATTAGTTCATTTTACTTTTGTAGGTTTAATATGTGGTGCATTATGTTGCTCTGCTCAGTGTGTTTTCCCTTTGTAACCCCTGCAGTCTTACATCATGCTATGCTTAGTTTTGTTTTTTGGATTTCAGTTTTCGGACATAATGGATGGGCAAGGCACAAAGCACAGGATTTTGATGGTGTCTGACTTTTTCTTTCCAAACTTTGGTGGGGTGGAAAGCCATATCTACTACCTGTCACAATGTCTACTTAAGCTTGGCCATAAGGTCCTATTTTCCTCAAAACTATATAGCTTTCTGTTTGCTTATCGATTCTTTAGGATGTTAGATGCTCTTAACAAATATTCATCCGATATACTAATGATTATTTTCTCTCAATCTGCCACTTTCATCAGTTTCTTTACCCTTATCTGTGTTATACTAGACTTTTAGGATCTTGCATGTATACTGAGATGCTGTCAGACTGGATGACATGGACATGCATAGTAGATCATTAACTGTGAGCTGCCAAATTTTGAGCAAAGATTTGAACGAAATTTATGTGTTTTCCCTAGGTGGTTGTCATGACGCATGCGTATGGAAATAGATCTGGAGTACGATATGTCACAAACGGTTTAAAGGTCTATTATGTACCATGGAGGCCATTCCTGATGCAGAATACACTTCCTACATTATTCTTGACCTTTCCAATTGTAAGGACAATTATTATTCGAGAGAAGATTTCTGTCGTGCATGGACATCAAGCTTTTTCAACACTGTGTCATGAAGCATTAATGCATGCTAGGACGATGGGGTACAAAGTTGTCTTCACAGATCACTCACTTTATGGTTTTGCTGATGCTGGAAGCATTCACATGAATAAGGTGCTGCAGTTTACTCTTGCAGATATTGATCAGGCAATATGTGTCTCTCATACAAGCAAAGAGAACACTGTCTTGAGGTCTGGGATATCTCCAGAGAAGGTTTTCATGGTTCCTAATGCAGTTGATACTGCAATGTTTACTCCCTCCCCCAAGCGCTTAAGCTGTGATGAAATAGTTATTGTTGTGATCAGTAGATTAGTATACCGAAAAGGTGCCGACCTTCTTGTTGAAGTCATTCCAGAATTGTGTCGTCTATTTCCAAAGGTGAGTTTGAGCTACATCACAATATAAGCCAAATGACCCTGGTGAATTGTGTATGTACACACTAAGGGAGAGCCTTTGTTACACAGCATATAACAAACTCGATCACCAAATGTTTTGATTGATGTGCATGTAAAACAAAGTCTATGGCAGTACATTTTCATTGGACAGTAGAGTTTGGCTGTTTTCATGAAGTCATCTTGCACCATTATTTTCTTATTGTATGTTTTGTTTTGGATTTAGGAAGTTGGTTGTATTTTGTCAATTAATGACGCCATGGACTTGTCAGGTTAAGCTTATTGTTGGTGGTGATGGTCCAAAACGTGTGCGCCTTGAAGAAATGAGGGAGAAGTTCTCCCTTCAGGATAGAGTTGAGATGTTAGGAGCTGTACCTCATGCTCAGGTGCGATCGGTTCTGATATCTGGACATATATTTTTGAACAGGTAAATTCTTCCTACATTTTCATCATTTCAAGTTGAAAAATCTTGTTTCTACTCTCCAGTGTGTTCATCCCTCTTTTCTTGATGGACTTCGATCTTGAGCCATTTGAATTTGGGATACCTTTTCTGTGCTTGCAATAAAATTTTGACATTCTTATATCAGATTATTTAAGTTCTCTTGAGTATGTGGTCCAAAACACAAACTAGGAATATGATTTAATACACACAGTTTATTCATGGACGTAATGGGTAGTTTTCTTCTGAATTCTAAATATATTTTAGATGGATCAGGAGTTAACTGAAGGATGATAACTTTTCGCTCATCTTGCATCACCTACCTTCATTGTCAATTATGACATAGTGCTATAGAGAAACTAGTTGATAGGAAAATTAATCTCTGGGACAGATGCAAAGGGTTTGACCATTTTATGTATAATACTGTAAGTAACACTGAAACCTAACCTTTGTTATTTTTAGTTCACTTACAGAGGCATTTTGCATAGCCATTCTAGAAGCAGCAAGCTGTGGACTGTTGACAGTGAGCACAAGAGTCGGTGGTGTCCCTGAGGTATGCAGTTATGATCTTAAGTTTCACTTTTACAGAAAATCCCAACCTTTGTTAGATGATTTTTCAGTTTCATGCAGTTCATTATTTCTTTTTACAGGTTCTTCCAGATGACATGATAGTACTTGCAGAACCAGCTCCTGGAGATATGGTAAGAGCTGTCAAGAAAGCCATCGACATGCTACCTGGCATAGACCCCCAAATTATGCATCTTCGGGTAAGTCTGAACTCTCAACATTCCACACCTTAATTGTACCCTTTCCATTGTGTTCATTTTGCATTAGCCTCTATTTAGTCGTGTGCAAGGTCCTTGTTCTTGATTGATCTTCTTCTGTTTTGCATCCTAGATGAAAAAACTTTATAGTTGGGATGATGTGGCCAAAAGAACTAAGATTGTTTATGATCGTACAATGCAGTTTCCAACAACAAATTTACTAGATCGCCTTCCCCGGTGAGTAAACACAAGATGCTGACGACTCATCTTGTTTCTTCAATAGATTTTATTAATGAAATAATGTATATCTGTTTTTTGTCTATCATTGACTAACAAAATTTATTTCATCATCCCCTCCTGTTCTTGTGCTAAATCAATTTATACGTTATTGTGGCAAATAATGTTTAGATCTTGTCAATTTATTATCCATATCTCCACATTTTCACTGATATCCAAATTGAAATACATTTGTTCATTTGGTGCCTCTAATGGTGCAGATATCTTACTTGTGGATCTTGGGCTGGAAAACTGTTTTGCCTAGTTATGATCATCAATTACCTACTATGGCGCCTTTTAGAATTCCTACAGGTATTTGTGTATCCATTGCATTCTCTCCCCTTTTACCTGTTTTTAGATTTGATGTAATCCTTACACGAGTTTTCTTCCTCAGCCTGCTGAAGGTATTGAAGAAGTCCCAGATATAGGGCCACTACATGCTCATTTAAGTTCAAAGAATGATTTTTGTGAGGCCCAAGAGAAGTGAAACTTACATTTTTGTCAGTTTTGAAATGGTTGGGGACTTGGGGTTGCAATCATGGTATCTTCTGCTTGTCAGCATCCGTTCTGATCCACATACAGGGTATACCTTTTTGATTTGGCTCCCACACAGCATTTTCTCTTGAAGCTTCCTGTTTCTGTAGTGGGAACTGACAGAGAGAGGAGCGACCCTGATTTGGAGGATTTCTTGTCATGCTGGTGGTTAAAGCTATGGTCCAAGGGCCAGTTTGGTTGCCGAAATTTTTGGCAAAATAACACTGTAGCGTTTTCGTTGTTATTTGGCAATTAGTGTCCAATCATAGTCTAATTAGGCTTAAAAGATTCGTCTCGTGGATTTTGTCTAGACTGTGTAATTGATTTTATTTTTTATTTATATTTAATGCTTACGTGCGTGCGTCCAAAGATTCGATGTGATGGGGAATCTTGAAAAATTTGGCATTTTAGGAGGGAACTAAACAGGGACAAGTTTCTGTCATTGCCAGCTCCTCTCTTTTTTTTAGCCTAGTGAGTTGATAGTCCGTGTTCTTATCTCCGGACCATTAATCAACAAGGTATCTGCTGGAGCATTGGTACTCTGATACTCTCTTTTGCCACCAGATTGCAGTGCTTTAGCCCCATCTCGGTTTTGACTCGTACTGTTTCTTGATTCTCACCAAAAACATTAGGATGTCACAGTATCCAGTGCTAGAAGTCTTGATTGGCATCTCGTGTCATAACACCTTGTTGTGATATCTTGTATCATGTCGGAGCACCAATTCCTATTATGTTTGTGATGCAAGGCCCAATCCAACCAGCGATTTTTGTGAATCCAATCTGCATGGCTCCAGTTGATAATATACTGAGTATAAAAAAATACAATCCCTTTCGGCACCGTTCGGAATTCAAGACTTTGATCATTCCCTTTGTAAGTTAGCTTTTGTAAGATATGAGTCTTTTCGGGGACTATTCAATCCTTACAGAATGTTTTGCGAAATTTTTGTTTACGAGTGGTACATGAACTTGTGTCCAATTGGAATATCTGTGTACCTCCATTCCACGGCCTGTTTTCCCCAGTTTAATTTAAAAATGCAGCTTGTATGGTACGCGTTGTGTGCTAGTTCCTTTTCACTTTTCTGCTTTCTGGTGTGGCCAGCAACGTATCGTGCAAACGATAGTGTGAAAAGCCTGCTTATGGTTATATATAGAGAGGTTGCCAGCCTGAGCAAGAGAGCAAGGGCAGTGTTCTGTATTGAACTAAACTTTAGAGCCTCTGTTAGAAAAAAAAAATGTTTGGAAGCTCTATAATAAGAAGTCAAATTTCTTTCTTGTTTGATTTTTTGTTGTTGAAACCTGTCTAATTTATAGTACGTCGTACTGTATTTTGTAAAATAAATGGATTAATTAAATTACGAGCATTAGCAGTTTATAGCGCGATTCATTTTGGAGGTTACTTCGTCCAAATCCAGGAAAAGGTCTACACAAACATGAAGGCTTGACTATACTTTGGACTTTTTAAAAAGCCAAAAAAGAAGATTTAAGTTCAAAAGATTGCTGCTTTTCACTTCGGTGCAGCTCCTATTCAAAGATTAGCAATTTGAAATTACAAAGATCCTGATTGTACTCAAGGGATCCAAATTCCAAAACCTTCTACAAACATTGCCATCTTCTCGATAATCGAGGGGAAAAAAAAAGGATTGACGTTCTCAGAAACTGCGGGGGAAGGGAATCCTGAATTCCTCCTCCCACTTTCCCAAAGAACGAACAAGAACCGCCCTTGTTCTCTGCCCCCGTCGCCACGCCCCCCGAAGCGACAGCGAGGACTCCAACAAGTCAGAGCGCGCAAGGCGGAGCCCGGCCGGCGACGGCGAGGCGAGCGGACTGCGGAGGGAACCAGAGAGCAAGGCGAGGAGGCGGCAGGGCATGGCTCGCCGGCCGGCGTCGTGGGAGCAGGGCGGCGACGAGTACGACTACCTCTTCAAGGTGGTGCTCATCGGCGACTCCGGCGTGGGGAAGTCCAACCTGCTCTCCCGCTTCACCAAGAACAGCTTCGCCCTCGACTCCAAGTCCACCATCGGCGTCGAATTCGCCACGCGCACACTCCAGGTCCGACGAATTTTACACCTCTCTCCCGTCTCCTGCTCCACTTTTCTTCAACGTTTTATTACTAGTGGGAAATTTTTATCTTTTATTCTACCAGTGTATAGAATTAGTACGTTTGACTGGTAATGCTCGCTGGGGTGATTCCTCGCTTCGCTTGGGTGCTCTGTTCAAGAGATTCTTGGCTTCCAACCCCGTAGAATTGTGCCTTGTTCGGATTTGATAAGCTCATGGTGGTGGGTTGGGTTTCTTGTCTTGAGAAAGTACTTGGAGAACTCTGCCGTTTAGTGTCCGCTGTTGGTACGGTCGCCTCGCCTACAACTGCTCTGGCCGCATGGCTGATAAACTATGGCTGAAAGCAAGATGGCTGATTTGTTGTCAGAGAAAAATAAGCGAACAGGACAACAGATGGTGGTACTCTCTCAACTTTCCTCCCACGGAAAGTTGCCCAAGGGTACACCCGTGAATGTACTGGTGGCCACAAATTATGGATGCATGTTTAATTAGGTGGGAGTTATTTCTTTCAGGCTATGGTAGTTGAGGACCTGAAATGAATGATAAATTGAATGAAGTGATTACTGACAGATATTTACTTCTTCAGGTTTGAATTACTCTGTTTAGATTCATGCACATGGACCATGCCTAACCTTCTGGATTAGTTTTCTCTCATTGATTCCTCTCTCCAGCACCACAAAGAGGTGTAATTTACTGCAAAATGTTGCCTGCCAAACTCGAAATGATAGTTATATATCACAATTGTTTATTATGAGTGCCTCGGGGATTGAATTTTGAATCCACATTTTTCGTTTCACATTAATTAGGATACTGCAATACTCTGCTTTGTGATAATCTTGGCGCGTGTTTAGTTCCACCCCAAATTCCAAAAAAAGTGCTACGGTACCTATTACATCAAATCTTACGATACATGCATGGAGCATTAAATGCAGACGAAAAAAAAACTAATTGCACAGTTTGGTTGGAAATTGCGAGACGAACGTTTTGAGTCTAATTAGTCCATGATTGAATATTAATTACCAAATAAAAACGAAAGTGCTACAGTAACCCAAATTCCCAAATTCACCTCACTAAACACGCGCTTGCTTGCACATCCTAGTGAAATGTATAGATATTTGTTCTGGTTCCTCAATCCCAGACCTTGAGGGACGTGAATCATTACAGGCAATGAAGAAAAGAAATTCTTTTCTGATTGGTTATTGTGTTTAAAGGTTTGGTAGTGATACTGGAATTGAAAGTTCTCGTTGTTTGTTGGAATAGATTCAGTTAGTAATCAGATCAACGATACATGGACAAATTGCTAGTTTACAATGTATCAATGTACTATAGGATGTTTTTTCCATCTATGAAATGCTATAAAGGTTTTACTACCATTTGGCAGATTGCGATGATGAAATATGATTTAGTGCTTGGCTATGCTGTTAATACAAACATGCACTTTAGTAAATTTCATGCATCTGCTTAAGATTGATGCATGCAATGTTTAAAACTGCTTGCTCTTGTTTTTTAAACTGTATTATTATCTTAAACTAGGAATGATACAGAAATCAGAGGCCAAATATGACATTGAATGGGGATCTACCAGAATCTTAGTATGTAACATGAATGCAATTGGCTACAGTTCTTATGTATGGTATTATTATATTCAGCCATGGATGAGAAGAAAACCTGGAACATAACATGACATTAGGGCCAGTTTGGCTGGACCAAATCCCAGCCCATTCCACACGGATGGGTCAGGATTGATCTATATTGCTGGCCCATCCATTTGGACTGGGCAAGGATTTGGTCCAGTCACCATGGAAGCTCGATCAGTATGTAACAGAGTTTGAAACAAATGATCTGAAGAAAGTTCCTAGTTAATTTTATTATTCAGATAAATTGATCATTTTTTCACTTATATGTGATGCACATTGCATTTACTTATGAATTAATTTTGCTTTTTATTAAGACAATAATACTTCTTTTTCCCACTGCTACTGAAGAAATAAGTTACAAAATTTGATTTCCCTGATTCAGGTGGATAACAAGACTATAAAAGCTCAAATTTGGGACACTGCTGGGCAGGAGAGGTATCGAGCAATCACAAGTGCTTACTATCGCGGAGCTGTAGGAGCATTGCTAGTCTATGATGTCACTAAAGTAATGACATTTGAGAATGTGAAGAGGTGGCTGAAGGAGCTCCGGGACCATGCTGACTCGAACATCGTTGTCATGCTCATTGGCAACAAGATCGACCTTAGACACCTGCGTTCTGTCGCAGTTGAGGATGCTGCAAGCTTTGCAGAGAGCGAAGGTTTGTTCTTCATCGAGACCTCTGCACTTGATGCAATAAACGTCGAGAAGGCTTTTCAGACTGTTCTAGCTGAGATCTACCGAATAATCAACAAGAAGCCCCTGTCTTCTGAGGAGTCTGGTTCAGGGTCTGGTAACCTCAGAGAGGACAATCCATTCAAGTGTCAGCCACAAATTCTAACGCTCTTACGTCCACGGTGCTGCTCTTCTTAGAGTTGCTCACCAGGATCATCTAAAGAACATCTCGTCAAGACATACTTTGTCGAAGTATTTACTCTTTGTGTGAACAATAAGTGTAGATTTTAAGAATGTCAGACTTGAGACACTGACTATATATTTGACCTGCATAGTCATGTTCCGTCGAGAGGTGATGTGCGAGAAAAGTTGTATTGCTCTCAAGCAGAGAAGAAGGCTGTGTATCACCCCCAGCAAAGCTCCTTGCTCTTAACTAGTAGCATGGTTGTCTTTGTATGATATGCAGTTATAATTTTTATTGGGGTTAATTATTCCACTTCTATGACTGGGGAAGCTCTCATGACTTGTGTCAACTTGATTCCCGGTTGCTCTCAAGCATATATGCATCATTCCATTGTTTTTGCC